CTCGTGCGCTTTCTATCTAACGGAAGAGAGACGAGGCGCTCGATAACCGAAGGCGAACACGTGCTCGTGCGCGAGTATGCTCGATGTTCCGTTTACTCGGGAATTTTTAGCGGTCCGCTGCCGTGGAGGGATGACGGAAACTAGAAAATCGATGGGAACCAAGCGAGACCCCAATTAGCCCGGAACAAAAGGCTTTTGGGGTGGATTCGCGTGAATCCGTAAGGTCGTCGCGAGTTTCGATGAGGCAAGGAAACCTGTCACACTCCAACGAGCACATGCCTCTGCACGAATATGCCTATGATTTCGCGATCGATTGGATTTTATCGAAAGTATCTGCTGATGTTCGCGGTCAGGTGGGTCTAGGTCGCCTACTCAGCGGCGCAACTAGATCGCTTTATTTCCAAGGGAACGTCACTGATACAACGCTATACACTCGGTGGAGAACAATGACGAGCAGTTTTTCTTTCCTCGTTTACAGTTTGACTCTGGTCTGATCGATCGCGTCCCCGGGACTGGGACACAGCGAAAAACCGTATGCAAGCCATGGCGAATTTTCATCGCGCTTCTCTCTTCGTTCCCTGGCTAGCCTCTCCTTTCTTGTATGCCTCACATATCGGCTTTCCCTTTCAACATCCGACTAATTTCACTGTAAAAATTGCGAACAGAAATCGTAGGTGGGAGGATCCACGGAAACTAATTTTACGATTGTATTATTCGGCGATCGTGTCGGAAGGAGATCACGGTTAGCACGCCGCTCCCTTTTGGCTCCGTTACAGCGGATACACGGAGCACCGGATAATCAAGAACCGGTCGACTAATTCGACCTCAATTTTCCAAAGGGCGCTCCGTCACAGCCGTATGCTGCTTCGAATGTAGAATCAATCGACTATTCGTTATTCCACTTACCTTCCTATTACTTAAACAATAAACCGAAAGAACACCAATCAGATCGATTATATCATTCAGACTCCCTTGAACATTTTTCAAGTGTCTATCTTCCATTGTTTAGTCTATGTTCCTTGCTGAGCGACGCCTATTGCATTTGCGCTCGACGCAACTGCAACCGTGCCTGTTTCGATTTTGTAAGCTTCGAAGAAATCTAGGCTAATCGCGGATTTACATCGCTTCCTTCCCTTCTTTCCCTTCCCTTATCTTATCTTCCCTTTCTCCTCCTATTTCGCTTTTCCTCCTCGAATCCCACTCCCTCTTGACCCATTGAGAAAACAAGAGGAAAAATAGGTAAACTTGATATAGAGCTGTCAGCGTTTTCAACTCCTACCGTATGAACACCTGTTTATGGTGCTTAAGGGGGTATTCTAGTGTGACAACCGTTTTTTAGGCCTTCTTTGCTAATTTATTGTAGAAGTTCAGTAACAGTTATTAACATGAGCTTTACTCCTATGTATTTACTTGTCTTTGAAGAATGATTACAAATTTTTTTGTTGAAAAATAATTAAATATGACTGCTGTGGAACGCGTCAAACACGGGCATGAAAAAAAAGTACGCTGATGGTTGCCATGATTTGAGCCGTTCTGCTTATCTGAAATATAAAAATCCAATAGATTCTTATTTAGTATGCCTCTGGCTATGGTCGGTAGTAAAATAAATGAAAAATATTGAAAATTAAAAAAATGCTGGCACTTTGAATATGAAGTTTTGATTTTTTCGACTTTTTTCGTCATTCAGAGGCTGTAAAAATGAGAAAAAAATATATTTTGGCATAATTCTATTACCGACCATAGCCATACATGTTTTGAAGACATCTGAAAAATTTGAGTTCGATTGGTACAGTAGTTTTTGCCAGATCGTGGCAACCATTTCAGAAAACATGGTTTCGAGAAAAACGCGTTTAAAGTTTTAATTGCAATTTACATAGGGATAATTTTATTTATCATTAATCTGCTAGTCCAGGACCATAGAGGGGACCTTCCTCTTCTCGAAACAAATGTTGTTAAGCTGTTCTTTCTTCTTTCCGATCAGTTCTGGCTCTTTTAGTGAAGTCACGAAAGAACTTATGTGTTGTTCCCAGCGAATGATGCGAGTTTTGTTACAGCAGTACACATAGAGCTGTCTTCACCAATTGTTACCCCTATTACTGGTAATACTTTAAGAATGGGCAAGAATCCATTATTAAATATAATTACTGCCAAAAAAAGGAGAGAATGATTTATAATTAACGTAGATATTTAGTTTTTACTTTATTTCTTTACTTGTGTTAATAAACTATTATTATTATTATTTTAAATACACTTTTCCGAACCTCAGTCACAAGTCCAAGTAATTTCCACATATATGTTCAGATTACCACGCGGTTTACTGTTGCAAAACTCCATTCTCCCTATCTCCGGCCTTTGATGCGTCACACTGAACGAGCTATAACTTCGTTATTTTATCGAATACAACTATAAAATTTTAGGAGCACTTTAAAGAGTTGTACTTTCGATATATGCAAAAAATCGATTTTTTGAAACCGTCACACCTCCTTAAGGGGGAGAACCCCAATCGATGATGAGCACTAATTTACATGAAAGTTTGTTAGTATTTTCTGCGGAAACTATGTGGTAGATTCTTTTGAAATCTTGAGGGTAGTTTTTTATACGTATGGACTAAAGAAAGAGCGATTAGTGAGCAAAAATGAAAGCTTATGCAAGGTGTGAACATTTGTTAAATATTTGTCAGGCCGTATTTTTAAAATGTTCTTGTATGGCGTGCAGCATAGGGCTTGTTCTTTTCATCTGAGACAACAAAGTCAAAGAAGCTTCTGTTCTCTAGGAAATTATGCAGAGAAAAAACCTGAATTTATGAAAATAACTGGAAAATTGACAAAATGGTGGCAGGTTGAACAAAAAATTTAAATTTTCGCCGTAATTTTTCACTTCATTGTGCAATTAAACACATTAACTTAAACAATTTCATTATTTTTAGTGGTTTGCCCTCTGAAGGAGATATTTATGTACTTACATGTCTGCAAAGATAGAAAGAAATCGGTTAAATATATTTTGAGTTATGCTGCACACAAGTTTAGAAAAAGTGGTTTCGAGAAAAACGCGTTTAAAGTTTTCTCCTGTATAAATACCTAAATACATACATATGTATGTAGAGGAAACCTGTACAAAACCGTATATCATACTTATTTCCGTAAATGATTGAAAAAATTTCACGCACGTTTTGCAATTATTTTCTGCCATATTGAAGTGTTCGTCAACAGTGTTCTGTTATAAACCAAGTAAATGCTAAAGAATTATCAAGTTTATTGTGTTTTCAAGTGTTCTGATCTTACACTCGGCTGTTTTCAAAACTATACTATAGTGTTTTGAAAATCAGTAGGTAAATTGACAATATTTATGACAATATTGATGACGATATTTATTACCAGTATCTACTGACATATTTCGAAAATTTTTGCTGGTCATTTTCGTCTTCATATTTAATTATAAAGAAAAAATTGTGTTCATGCGTTCTGGAGTACAACCGGACGGGGTAAAACCGGCATACGATTATATCCTGGACATCTATTTAAGTTAGTTAAGTACCTAGTATTTCATTTCTGTTTAAGGGTATTCGCAAGATGCCGCGTAATTATTAATGAAGACTTATTAGAAAAAAAGCAAATAACAAAAATTGGTGAGGAAAAGAATTAAATCAAATACATCTGGAGTTTATGACATTCCCGTACGTATATTGTCACAGAGAATATGGCATGAGCCATTTGCAAGAAGGTTGGGTACCAGCTGGAGACCAGAAGAACTTGACCATTTTCAATGTTATCATTGTTAATTTAGATTGGGGACAATATCGTATAGTGTTAACGGTTTAACCACCCCGTGGGGCAAAATCGGAAAAAGTAGAGGTTTCGTTTTTATTTTATTTCTATTATGTTTGTTCATTATGAAAACATTTAATAAATATAGTTTTGATTACATAATTTGTTTTACAAATTACAATGTTATTGTAATTCGAACCTTAAGTGTACGGTTTTGTACAGGTTTCCACTACATGCGTGACACGCTATGTTCCAACGGGTTATAGCTCTGTTAATTGTTCGAATTCCGATCTAACACTTTGGGAACATATTCTCAAGATATAAAACTATCGATTTATGCAATAAAATCAATCCGTCGATTCGGATTCTCCCCTTAACGCGCAAAAGGGCGTTACGCTTGCAATCTGCTGATGCTTTAACATCTTGATTATCCTTTATTCGTTATCCAAACGTCGAAGCAACGGGTTCGAACGATGATTTTATCTCTTCGGAAAACACGTTGTAACCACTCGCTCTCGCGATACACGTGATGCATGCAATGGAGAGGATAGGTGAAACCTTGGAACATCAATCTGCTCGTTGAAGCTGATTTAATCGTCGATGGTCCAGTGTAGAAGCATACATTGTCACTCGTCAGAGCGTATATAAACAAAGCAGACGAATAAAACCGAATGGACCATTTTTCGACCAGCGTTCATCAAGTTTCGTTTGAATTGAAACGAGCGAGGGCTAAGAATAAACTCCAGACCGAGAAAATCTTCTTTGCTTCTCGTGCCCTTGAACAACGCAGAGCAAATGTTTCTCAGGAATAACGGTCGTTTTTCTTTTCGATACGGACAAAAAATATCGAAACGTCCCGTTTTCTTCTTTTTTTTTCACGGACGCGCAAATACGCTTTCCACGGCTCGATAAAATATTGTCTGCATCGTTTCTCGTTTCCTTGAAATTATCGGGAAACCAGACAAAAAACTACGTCGTTGCATTAGGCGCTTATCGGAAGGATATTAATGTCTTGCTCGTGTTAACGTTGAAAAAATGTAAAGAGCGAGCAGCGCATTTTACTTCCAACTGGTCGCCGTTCTACAGGCTGCAGTAGAAGAGCCTTGTGCAGGGCAGACATGACTCGAACCCTTTACTTTTGCACGCTATTCGTCGCTGCCAGGTAATTTCCCGATAACAACAACAAAGGAGGACGAAGCATTTCTTATAAAAATGTATGGAAAACTTTTGTTGCAGGGGTTTCGGGAAACAAGGATACCAATGTCAAGGTAAGAACGCAGTCGGCTCACAACAGGTGCAAAGACTATCCGAAAGAAGTTTGCCTCAAATGTGCCACTTGTGTTTCAGTCTGCAGTTTCGTCGTTCATAAACGATGTCACGAATACGTGACTTTCACGTGCCCTGGCGCCGACAAAGGAGCTGACTCGGACGTGAGTATTGGCGTACACACCTTATTAGATGCGATTCTTTTTTGTTTATTATTCTTCATTTTCGACGACGCAGTTTTTATCATACCTTTCTCTCTTTCGTCCGAAGCCAAGGACGTTCTACGAGACGCGTCTCGTTTTGGAAAAAAAGAAACGTTGCGGTCACCGCGCGATTCGATTAGCTCGCGTACCACCCTTCTTCCTCCTGATTTCATTGAATCGATTTCGTGAATTTCAAAGCGTAAAAGTGAAAGAAAAGGGCGCGCGAACGAGAGTGTGGTTATTACGTTACGCCGTGCCAGCACGTTCGCGACCGCTTTCGATAGAATACGCATCAATTAATGGCACAAGCGCTAAACACGCGTACAAAATGTGCGGCGGAGCGGGCCGAGCGTATCGTATCGATAGCTGCTGCTGCGAAAAGCGTCGAGCGGTTAAGGAAGGTCGCTGCCGGATCGATATCGAGGTCGAGCTTTTCGCCGACGAAACGCCCGTCAACCATACATATTTTTACGATGCAATCGATTCAACGGAATATTCTGTACTTATCTGAAATGAAAGAAAAACCCTACTTAAAGCGTAAACATCTGTTGAACGAATGGAAAAATCTCAGAGAGAGAGCGAGTGAGAGAGAGTGTTCTGTCCATACGACGTAATTTCCAGGCTATTAGGCCTTCACACCTCTTCAGATAGCCAAAGACTTTCATATTCCAATCCTTCTAAATTAACAAATAATTGCTCTTTGACGCAATGGACGGTAAGCAGATACATAATTAAAAGGATCTCGTTTCTACGCGCACTCCAATTACACCCCATTTGCCTTAGCATCAGGCCTCGTACCGTTTTTTGGTGTTCATCACGAAAACCTCCCTACTAGCGTACTTCCATAGTAAACCATCAATTTATACTTCTCTTCCGTAGAAATCCTCAATCACCAATCATTTTCCTGCTTTGGCTTTCGGAAGAGTATAAATTTACAGTCCAGAAAATTAATAAAAATAATATTTTGAATGGAACAGTACAAAAAGTATCTTGCATACAACAAACAACCAAGCGATATCTTAAAGTTTAATCGAACCCACAGTAAACTTCAATTTAACGATTCAAGAAGAAATCGTGATCATCTGATGAACCGATAGATACACGATTATCTCTTCTTATCGTCAACCTTCTTTACCAAAAATTAAAATCAGCTGTTCTTCATTAATTTCTCGTGCAGCGTACCGAAAGACATCGTGGCGTGTCTGTTATCGAAACGGGGGAACGGTACAGAGAGAGTGAGGAAGGAAGGAGGGTAAATAACGAGCTAACACGAGTCGGCAAAACCGAACCGACCAGAGCGTAGAATGTAGAAGATTAAGGATAAGAATGATCCTCGGCTGGAGTAAACAGGGAAAGGACACCCGGGGCTAAGAGCTATATATACATTTTTCCACGTTTTCTCGCACCGCGCACGATTGGCCTAAGCGTTTTCTGCGCTTCGTTTAACCACGCTTGTAACACGGAATAATTACGCAAACGAATATAAGGAAAGTTGCCCAAATCGTTTCAACGGGAATAACGTTTACGACTCGTCGTCGTTACACTTCGAGAACGGGGATGGATAAATAACTCTCCTATGTAGTGTAGACACCGTTTTTAGGTGTGATAAAACCTCTAAAGACTTTCGGTCAGTCGCAAACGTTTCCTTGATCACCGCGGAGGGAAATAATTTTTTATTTCCATTTGGGAATTTCGATTAAAACGATCAATGTCCTAGCGTTCTCCTTGGCCCTGGTGCTGACTTCCTTGTGCTTCTGTGCTTCGAAGATGACTCTTTTTCGATACCCCTATACCATTCGCCCATTCCTGCAGCTCCGTCGTGTGGATCGCGCACGTGTCGATTTCCCTGCGAATGCAAACGTCAACTAGTTTTTTCGTCAATAATTCGAATTCGTGGAAGCTTCAAGGTATCGTGTCGACCGGTTGGCGGACACGTTGAACTATTCGTGAGTTATCGGTAACGAGTCAGACCAGCAGCTGGAACAATAATCAAGTTCGCGCTTTTGTAGTTTGAAAGCAGAGTGGTTGGTTAGAAGGTTTAATGAAACGACGCTGCTGCCGCGGTTATCGCTACTATCGCGATCGCTTCCGACTTTGTCTATAGCTTGTGGACCATTTCTAACTCGTACCGGATTACTCCAGCCGTCACGATGCGGTTACGAATAACGAAGTTTGTCTTTCGTTACCGAACGCCCAGGGAAATCGGTCGACGACGATCGATCCTTGGCCCATTCGATTCTGATCCCGATTCCGATCACGATCCTCGCACCATCACCCAAGAGTCTGCGTGTGTGTGCACGGTGTAATGGTGTAATAACGCAGGACACGCGGACGAAGCACCAATTCAAGCAACACACCTACAACAGCCCCACCTTCTGTGACCACTGCGGTAGTCTTCTCTATGGTGTCATCCACCAGGGCATGAAGTGCCAAGGTATCATTATGAAAACCAAAGAAAACCGAAAGAAAAAAAACGAGAACATGCAACCAGTCACACGCACACAGACACATGAAAAGAAAAAGGACACAGACACTGTCGCACATTTATAACTAATCGTACATTTTGTCTTTTGGCCCACCGTTTGTTCGTGGTGTTGCTTTATTCTTCGTCTTCTTCTCGTATTCTTCTAATCTTCTATTTCTACTTTCTTATCTCCCCTTTCTTCTTTCTCATCCTTTTGCTCCTTCTTCTTTGTAAATATTCTCTATCACAAAGCTTGCCACTGTCGTAAAACGTTTAACGCTTCCAGTGCGTACGTAGCAGCCTGCAATGCTTGCGAATTTCGCAAGTACTAGATTCCCATCGTACTTTTAACTTTTGTTCGAGCGTTTCTACAGTTTTCTTCGGCAACCACTGGACGTTTGATCGCGAGTTCACTAATTTCTCGCGAGATTTTCCTCTCCTGTAATAGTACGATCCACGCGGCAAGCTTTCTCGTACTCTACCACCGTGCGTCTTTGTCGCACGGATTGCTCTTTGTGCCTCTGAATGTTCTACATGTTGCGGGCGTACATCCATATTATGCATTAATACGCATATATATGTATTTATTACTCGTATGTGCGTACAGAAACGTGTACCTACTTACTTTTCTCGGATAAAGGGTTCACGGAGCGGAAGAGAGAATCGAAGAGAGATAGAAATGGGAATAAAATAAATGGACAACACACACACACACGCACTCTCTCTCTCTCTCTCTCTCTCTCTCTCTCTCTCTCTCTCTTTCTCTCTCTGTCTCTCTCTCTTACCCTTGTGACCGTGCTGACGAATCTAGCGATGAGTACGTCATACTTCGAAACGTTTAATTTCGCTCCAACAGATTCATTGATAATTTTGGAAGAGTCGAACGCCCATCGCTAGACGAATCTTGTTTTTTACATGCGACACTTTCTCCAATTTTGTCTGTTCTTTTGTACAAAAAGCAGTTAATATGTGCGCGTGAGACGCATTCCTCCCACTCACACGTTTACACATATTGTACTTGTTGTCCCTTCTACATCGTGTGTGTACAGACGTTGATGTTTGTAATAGTTGTATACGTGATATTTAGCTTGGCTTTTTGGACGACGAAGCTTAACATTTACCTTACTTTGTTGGATGATCTATCGTCGTTTCTCATAGTTGTCCGTGTTTCTGGAGATAGGTTAATTTTTATACCAATTCAACGATCACACGACCTTTGTGTGCATGGATATTGCTGAAAGAATGAATAGAAAATAGCGAACGAGTAAATGTTCTCGTGAATGTAGATTCAGATAAATAGAATACAGGATTAAACCAGAGAGAGAGAGAGAGAGGGAGAGAGAGAGAGAGAGAGAGAGAGAGAGAGAGAGAGAGAAAAAGAGAGAGAATACCAATTAGTTTAGACAATAGAAAAGGAAACGCTTCGTTACCACCATGCCATGAGTAATATATCTTAAAGATTCTAGAAATGCTCCGGATAACGGTATCTTTCTGATCTTTCATATCATATTTGTAAATACTCTTCTCCTTTCTCTGTACAGCTTATCTGTGTCTATATTCTGTCTTTTCGCTTCTACGTGTCTGTATCGACTAATCTGTCCCGCACTATTTACACTTTTATTTACGTCGTGTTATGTCTCACCGCAAAATCGGTACATACTTTGCACCGTTCGTTTACGTACGTTTTCGTTTCCTTTTCGCGTGGAGAAAAACATTTGGGGAATATGCGAATTAGGAGGAGCGTGAATGGTCTGATAACGCGGAAAGCCTTAGGTGATGCCTTGAGACAAGAGGAGCCCTGTACCAACTGACAAGAGGAGAGTTGGGAAAAGAGCGGCGTGGAAATGAATTAAACGCTCGGGACTGCGAGGTGGAAGTAAAGCCCGGGAAATTGAAGCATAGGAACGCGTTAGTATCCGAGTCAAGGCCTACTTCGCTCCTCCATCTCTCTCCCTCTCTCTCCCATTCTTCTTACCGTGCCGCACCGCGCCGAACCGTACGTTTGTTGCTCTCGCCCCGGTTTTCTTATCCTAGCCCATTCTACAACAACCGCTTCGACCGCTCGGTTTCTTCCGTCACCTTCATTTTCAATTGTGCTCCGCAACGGAGCCTCAACGAAGAAGAGTCCAATTGAATTTTCGAGAGCAAAGCTCGACTTTAACAGGCGCAAAGAAAAACGCGTTACCGACCAACTTGGCAAGAGTGGCTTCCCTTAGCAGCAAATAAGTTTACCTTCGCGAACTACACGACTTTTCTCCTTTTGCTCGAATCGAAAGACCACGAGATTCACTTTTCCTGATCCACGATGAACGATGGATTCCCTTTATTAAATAGAGACCGTACTTGAAAAAACCCTCATCGTACTGGCGAATTGTAGCGCGGGTGAATAAACGCGACGCAACGGTAGCTTCGGTTGTGGTAGAGGCTACGGTTCCGGTCGTTGTTCGGTATCGTTCGGAGTCCAAGGATCAGATCACAATGAAGAACCGGGCTTCCCCGGGCCGCTCTTTCTTGTTCCCAGATGAGCACCGCACACAAATGGGAGGTTTTCACGTACCTGACGCCGACCTTCTGCGACCACTGCGGCTCGATGCTTCACGGTATCGCGCATCAGGGACTTAAATGTTCAGGTAGTTAACAAACCATTCAGCCCAAGCAACCAATTCAGTCCGCAATAAATACTACATTGTACCACGAAGCGGCTAGTTCTCGCACGCGTCTTATCCTCACGTAGAGCTATCTTCGATAATAGGAGCTGGCGTTCGTCTAGATTCGAGAGGAAACAGCCACCACGTCGTGTCGTTTCAACGTCGCCCGTTTATGCGACTATTCGAGTAGCGAAAGATCGCTGTCTCCGTCTCGAATCCAGCTGGAGCGACACCCATATCGCGAATTTTCTGAACAATTTCCGACAATCTGTCCAGTTCTCGATCGAACCACGTTCTCTTTACGTATCTCTCCTGTGATCGAATAGGATATATTCGCTCAATTGCCATGTAAATGCTCGATATAACTTGCCGAAATTAGAGCATCGCTGTCGCGTGTAACTATCAGCCGCCTCCTTATAACCTCACCTACCGCTCCAGCAAAATGTAAACGTTGGAATTTCAAGCGCTGGAATCCCTCAGCTTCTTCCGATTCAAGGATTTTCAGAATCGAACAACTTCGATTTACGACGTCCCATCGGGGCAATGAAATCGAGTCGCCTTAAGTTTCGACCAACCGGTTCTCCGTGCATGACTTTTCTACGTTTCCCCTCGTGTTTTCCTCGTCGTAATTCCGTTCTCTCCACAGAATATTTTCCTTCTTATCTCTTCTCTTCCTTCTCGACGCCGATGTCCCTTCGTTTTATCTACGCGTCGCTTCTTACACTCTCTGCTAATTCAATTCAGTCACGGTCCTTTTTCGTTTTGACCAAACCACTTGGCTGGCCAACTCTCATCACGTTCCTCCAAACTTTCCACGGACTCTTACATTTTACTTTTGTCTTTGGTTTCTCCACGTTGTTTGTTTTAACACGCTCTGTTCCTCGTAATCGACCCTAATTCTGTAGGCTCGCGATTGTCTAAAAAAGCCACGCGTACATTGGAGATCGCGTACAAACAGAAAATCTATTTGTAAAAACAAATCGAACAGGTACGATTCATTTCCACGAATTATTAACGTATTTTACGTATCGTTACAGACCCATGAATGTAAAGTAGAAAATATTCATATCACCCCTTTTGCGGTGCTCGACATTTACTTCCCCCCCAAATATCTGGTTATCTGACTGTTCGCCGATATATTCTTTTGCTCGCATTTTGGTTCGATGATCACCGGTAACGCTGCATCCGTCATTAGTTGTAAACATTCCGTCTCGAAGGAAGAAGGGAACGTTGCACTTGGTTGTACGACTATTAGCTCCTCGCTTGCTTACCCCGCGTCGCTCTCTTTGCCACGACCTACCGCGCCGAGAGCTTTATGAGAGCTCACCGGCTGGCTTGTACATAGAATACATATTTTCGCAACATACGGTACCTACTCGCGATCTGTATACTTAGACTTATTGTACATACGATACATGATTGTTCTGCATGTTTGTAATAATAATAATTATCGTAATACATATACACGTAGATTTGCCATACGCTGGTTAGCGAGTGAACGTGAACGCAATAATTGTCCCTCTCGATGGTTATGAGACCTTTCTACCCTTTGGTTTTATCATTACTTAACAGTTATCGAAGCCTTGTCTCACCAGACGATTGTTCGTGTCATCTGTGATATTATTCTTGATTTTATTCGACCTACACATGTGTATATCGCTCGCGTGTCTCGAACTCGTTCGATGGAGTCTCATTTTGCGACACTTTACTCCGATTTCTTTACCATTTGTTCGCATACGCGCGGCAGAACGGATTTTTCGCGATCATTTTCCTGTTCTTTTCTTTTCTTGTTGTCTTTAACGCTGTCAACATATCGTTTAACGTCCCAATCTATGTATCCGGCGGCAATTATTTGATGATTATTTTAGTTTGTTATAGTCGCCGCTTCTCGTTGTACTTCACCTTTTGCTCACAGGTAAAAATTACGGGGTATTATCGTCGTAATATTAGATACGAATTCCGAAATTGAAGTTGGTTTCCTGACGTAGAAAAGGATAATAGTCATGTTTCCCCTCGAATATTCGATAATCACCTCGTAATTCGTACGTACACCCGTTATCTTGCGATTTAAGCACGAACCTCCGCTGTCCGAGCATGATTTTCAGACGGTTGTTCGTCGAGTCTCGCGCGTGTGCACTTTCGACTGCAGCCGCGATCGCGCGTCTCGATTTGTTCTTTCATCCTGGTAAATGAACGTTAAATGAAAATTAACGAAAGAGAAGGAGAGAAAGAGACGGTTGGCAGCTGCAGTTTCGATAGCGAACGAAACGCGTGAAGAGCCGCGCCGCCTATCCTGCAATCCTGCTGCTCGAATCAACATTGTTAAGTAAAAATCAGTCGAAAAAAAGAAAAGAAAAAAGAAGGAAAAGAAGTAAACGAGATTGCCGGTCTGGCTGCAACGTTAACGTGCCTCAGCGTACCTCGGAAAATGATGATAATTGATGATGATCTAATAACGTAGCATGCGACATGAACGTACACAAGAGATGCGAAGAGAGCGTGCCGAATCTTTGTGGATGCGACCATACGGAAAGACGTGGTCGTATAAACTTGAACATCACATGCTCCGGAAGCAAACTCACCGTCGAAGGTAGGTCTATCTTATAATAGCTATCCCTTCTGCCCATTCTTGTGGGAGGGCAAGTTCATCGATGAGAGTGAACAATGGAGAAAGGTTGTCTTTTTTGAGATAATCGAAATGATCATAATCTTTACGACATCATCATGATTAATTCAAAGTATCGTGCGAATCGTTTCCACTTCGTATACGTATAAGCTAGCAACTTTATCAAGAGTAAAGTAACACGGTTCATAATTAGATTTAGTCTCTTTCTATGCTTTCCCGCGATAATTGCCATTAAAAATATCTCTTTGGATCGATTTATCGACGCTTTCGTCGAACAGTTTGCCGCCAAGTAGCCGAGAGAGAACAAGAGATTATTGCAAAGCAGGGCCTCGATGAACGCGTAAGACCTTTATTATTAGATGGTTATTACCAGCCGAATTAAGCTTCTTCCGATTCAAGGTTGAAACGTTGAACGGTCGTTGATTATTACGTACGTAACTATATAAAAGATCCCTCCCTTTCTCCGTTGCTCGTCTGCACAAGACAGACACGATTAGGGAAAACATTGTGACACGCATTCACCGCGTATTCCAGTGAAACAGGGACGAAATCTCATTCCGATGGATCCGAACGGCTTGTCGGATCCTTACGTGAAACTGAAGTTGATCCCGGATTCGGACAACGTGAAGAAGAAAACAAAGACGATCAAGTCTTCGCTGAATCCCGAGTGGAACGAGACGATCGTTTTGTAAGTGTCAAGCGTTCGTTAGTTGATAGTGTCCCGAGAGTAGCAGGAAGTTGAACCGCGGAACTGCAAAGTACCGTTTGGCTTTCCAGCGACCTGAAACCCGAGGACAAAGACAGGCGGTTGCTGATCGAAGTATGGGACTGGGATCGAACGTCCAGAAACGATTTCATGGGTTCACTTTCATTCGGAATATCGGAGCTTATCAAAGCACCAGCCAGCGGATGGTTCAAGCTCCTCACGCAAGAAGAAGGAGATTACTACAATGTACCTGTGCCTGAGGAGGGCGTGGATCTTGCCGAGTTGAAGGTCAAAATGCGAGTACGTTTTATCGAGAGGAGAATCCTTCTACTGAGAATTCAACGAGAACTGAATTACCTCTGTTTCAAACACTACCAACTATGCCTCGTAGAAAACATCGGTCACGAAGAAGTCGACCGCAACTCAGGACAAGGAAGTGCCACACAACATGGGCAAGAGCGATTTGATAAGGGCGAGCGATTTCAATTTCCTTATGGTGCTCGGCAAAGGCAGCTTCGGAAAAGTCAGTCGTTCATTTCTTACACATTTAGTACACTACTTATGTATGCATATCGTAGAATGATGAATTGAGACGCGTACCTTGTGATCGAATTTAAGGTAATGCTGGCGGAAAGGAAAGGTACGGACGAACTCTACGCCATCAAGATCTTGAAAAAGGATATAATTATCCAGGACGATGACGTCGAGTGCACTATGGTGGAGAAACGCGTTTTGGCGTTGTCAACTAAGCCACCGTTCTTGGTGCAACTGCACTCCTGTTTCCAAACTATGGATCGACTCTATTTTGTCATGGAATATGTGAACGGTGGAGACTTGATGTATCAAATACAGCAATGTGGCAAGTTCAAAGAACCTGTCGCTGTGTAAGTCCTGGTCGTTGGATAGTATCCGCGACTTCTGAATATCTTCTTGTTAAAAATATTCTTTTCGCAGATTCTACGCGTCCGAAATAGCAATTGGTCTTTTCTTTCTGCATGGTCGAGGTATTGTTTATCGTGATCTGAAATTGGACAACGTTTTACTCGATCAAGACGGTCACATCAAGATCGCTGACTTTGGAATGTGCAAAGAAGGAATTACCGGAGACAAAACCACCAAGACGTTCTGCGGAACACCGGATTACATCGCTCCGGAAGTCAGTGTCCCTCGAGGATATTCGAGGTTGAAACGTTAAAGCGTACGCTGCGGCGCGACTCGTATCGATTGTTCTTCGTTCGTTCGTTCGTTCGTTGCAGATCATATTGTATCAGCCGTATGGAAAGTCGGTCGATTGGTGGGCATATGGTGTGCTGCTGTACGAAATGTTGGTTGGCCAGCCGCCGTTCGATGGAGAGGACGAGGAGGAGCTGTTCGCCGCGATTACGGAACATAACGTCAGCTACCCGAAGAGCTTGTCGAAAGAGGCGAGGGAAATTTGCAAAGCGGTAGGCGTATGCTGTTATGCCGTGTCACATGTGCCCTTTCTCAATCAAATTACACTTGTTCTCTTCCGTGCTTTCAGTTCCTCACCAAGAATCCAGTGAAGAGATTGGGCTGTGGACTACGTGGTGAGGAAGATGTTCGCAGCCATGCGTTCTTCCGACGCATCGATTGGGAGAAGATAGAAAATCGGGAAGTGCAACCGCCGTTCAAGCCAAAGATCGTGAGTATCGTGAATTACGTGAATAACGTTTACCTAGAAAAGAATGGCGGAGAGTAACGCGTGAACCTTTTTCACTTTAGAAACATCGCAAGGACGTGAGTAACTTTGACAAGCAGTTTACATCGGAGAAGACAGATCTGACGCCCACGGACAAGTTGTTCATGATGAACCTGGATCAGACAGAGTTTATGGGTTTCTCGTTTCTCAATCCAGAATTCGTGCAACACATTTAAATCGATAGAATATTTCAAGTTACAGGCTAGTTAGAATCTCGTCATACCTTTTTCACCACCCTCCTCCATTTTCTGGTGTTGTTCATCTTCCGACTCTTTGCTACTCAGGGCTTTCAACGTCATTCTCTTTCTCTTCCACCCCTTTCACTCTCTTTCATCTCACTCCCTTCATTCTTCTCTCTCTCTCTCTCTCTCTCTCTCTCTCTCTCTCTCTCTCTCTCTCCATTCCCCCTTGCTTCAAACATCGTGTTCGCATCTGCGTAAGTACACACACGTTTTTTTGCATTTGAAGCAAAAGTGACTCGAAACTTTTCAACTTGTATTTTTGACACGAACAAGGTGCTGCTCCTTCGTTCGCTCGTGTAACGTTGGCTATCGCGTATAAAATGATTGCGGTGACAAAAGGACGAAAATGAAGTGCGATCGATAGTGGGGGAGATATCGTGCTTTCTCCTGCCATGCAATCAAGAATCGAGAAAACTTCCTAATTGCTATCCTTATTCTCCGCGTACGTTTACCTCGGTAGGTTCTGCTGTTGCCTTCTACAATATATACAGCATACCCACACACAAGCACGCGCGCGCGCGCGCCACGCAAGCACGCACGCACACATATATACAAGCAAATATTTATAGTCTAAATGATACATATTGAACAAACAAATTGTATGATTCTTATTATTATTATGGTTATATACCTATAGATACACTTATTACGAATCATCACGAGTTGACGGTCCTCTTTTAATATTCATAAGCAATTCAAGTACGTATCACGTAGTACTCGATATCTATATATGTACGGCAATTTTATGATCTATTGAAATTTACTATCAATGCAAACACCCGATTCGTATTCTCGTTTCATACGTCTGTACCCGTTTTACACTTGCACTTATACATACCTGTACACATATACACGTGCATGCACTTCGTGCGTACGAACTTTTACATGTACAGGAGCAAAATGATATCGATATAATCGTATTTGTTTGTATGCTTAATCGATTGTCAAAGCACCAACCTTCTTACGAATTCCATTCATTCGATCCAAACGTCTGTAGTAAAATGAACTATGTACTACAAATAACTTGTTACCGACAGAGGATATGTCACGTAGCCGACGATGTCGTTGTTAAAACAAACATACAATTTGGTGCTACTGGAAGATGATCATGCGTGTTCAACGGTTCGTGATGATAATGAGGAGCAGACGACTAGATCGAACATTATTCTTCTTTTCAATTCGTATTCTCCTTTCCCTTCGACCGTTTGATTGGCAAACTCACTGTGTGTTAAACGTCGTTGTCTCTATTGAAAGGGCTTCGCGTCTCGAGAAATGTGTTCGAGACATACACACATTACACCTACACCTATACAAGCACGCGCGCGCACACACACACCTTGACTCCTCCATTTCCTTTAACTTGTTCGTTTTGAGCTCATTCGAAATCATGGAAGGGCAACGGCCTCAGCTCATTTCCTGAAGGAGCTCTTTTCCAGTAATACATGTCTTTTTTATCGAAACCGTTTCGTCTCACATGATCGAGGACGAGGATGATTCGTCAAGAAAAAAGCAAACTGTGTGCAAAACGAATAAAAAGACGAATGTCAAGAAAATAAATGTTTAGAAACATTTTCTTCCTTGACTTCTCTTTTTCGGTCAGTCGGTCAATAAGCCGACCTTTGATAGTACGATTAGTTATTACTTGTCGATTAATTGCGTGTAATTGTCGTAGATACACACACACACACGCGCGCGCGCGCGTGTATATATAATTGATCGGTTCGCCGTCTTTGACGAATGTTTCCTTTTTTATACACTTCGCGTTCACAACTCGTCGAATGACCGAGGTTGAGGCAAATAAAACGCGTTCAAGGATTGCCGTTAGGCGTTACGACGCGCGAAACAGACTAACAAAATACATTTCGTGTATGTTTGAATGCGTTGAGAACGAAGTATATATTCACCAAAGGCTCGTACCTTTTTCTTTGAGTCGGATAGAAGTTTCGTATCTTTAGTTCATTTCGCCCCTAGTGAATACTGATAGATTAAAGATAGACTAAAGAATTCCGATCCGAGTGCTTGAATCATGAATTAAACAGACGTTATGCGAATCCGTTACGTATCAGAATCGATCGCTCGGATAGAGAAAGCGAGAAAGTAAGAGAGAGAGAGGGGTGGGGGGGGGATAGTTGTCTTTACAGTCATTATACTGTTCAAATTGTATTTACTTTGTCCTGGATCAGCCTGGTTGTCCAGCAACGGAAAGATACGAGTTCACGAGTTTCAGAACAAATCGAGCATAATAATTACGTCTTATTAAGCGTGTTCCAATAAATAAGTAAATATACCGTTACGTAGTTCTCGCCCCCTTATTCAGCGGGTGATCCAATCTTGTTCTTCGATCGGGCGAATTTACGTAGTCTCGTCGATAATTCCGCTCTCACCCGACACGATCGGTCGTTGGTTTACGCGATGGAATTCAGAATCGTGTTCCATTTTGCGACGGGTCAACCCTCTGATTCATTAAGGCGAAAATGCGTTCTTTATTTTTCGAACGAGCTCATGTAATAATAAAGCGACAGCGATTTCTACGGCGAAGTTCATTTACTGTTAATTTACCGAAAAGTCTAAAATTATCGCGGGCAAATTGTGTTTTGGATTCGCTATGCGACACGTACAGGGTAACCGGTCTCGGAACATTTACATTCCAGAGATATAGCTTGGCCGACGAATTTCATTTAAGTCCTAAATGTTCTGGCGCGAGACTACGTAATCTGCGCTCGAGATCTATTTTTATACCAAAAAAAAAAAAAAAAAATCAAAAAAGAAAAAAAAACAAAGAAAGCAAAAAAAAAATGAAAAGAATCAAACTTGACGAAAAATCCACCGTGTAAGCGCGACGGCGATTCTTCCTCCTCCTACTCGTCGTCGAGGAGGAAGTACATATACAGTAGGTCACAGAAGTATTCATACCCCCTTTAAAATAGAATAACTTTTAAAATTGGACCAAACGACTTGAATTTTTTTGAGAAGTTAGAAGGATTAGTTTACTAGATGACGTGTACAAAAAGTGTTGAGAAGATAAGAATTGGTCGGAATCGCGAAGAAAATAGTGAAGGTTGTTTTTGCAACTTTTCATTGCGGGCTCAGATAAAACACATAAAAAGTACAATTTATAGATTTATATAAGTTATATACATACTGAAAATTTCATCGAATTCGGTCGATGCAAAACAAGCGGCAGACATTGAAAGATGTAAGAATCGTTATATTTATTACAGTTGTAGCTCAAAAGTCGCGAAAAACTGCGATTTTTGCCATTTTTAACAGTTTGCAGCTCATAGCAACGTTAATCGATTTCGATGAAATTTTCAGCATGTGTATAATTGACATAGGTATGTATATCTACAAAACTACTATTTTCTTCGTGATTCCGACAAATTGTAATTTTTTCAAAATTTCTTGTACGCGTCATTTAATAAAGTAATCCTTCTAACTTCTAAAACAAAACTCAAATCATTTAGTCTAATTTTTAAAAAGTTATCTTGTCTTAAAGGGGGTACGAATACTTTTGTGACCAACTGTACGTATTATACATACTTTTCCTCGTCACTATGCCGTGTAACACTGTAGCGCTCTTTTTAGCCTCTATGCGACATTCGAACGTTGTAAAAAAGCACTGATAGTATTAAACTAAAGGACGTTGATCGTCGGACGATTTCGGAAAACGTAGTTGTCGATTAGCGGAACGATTGCATAGTTCTATTCCAAGAAAATGAAGTATCGGACAAGTCTATCGATCGGACTGCTATTGCGAGATCGAACTATTGCGTTCCAATACCGGTCATGACAAATGGCGAATATGTAACACAGTGATTTTTACAACAGTAGTGCCGATTTAATTTTCCTTCCGTTAATAGAGTCGCGGGAACCGATGCTTCTTGCGCCTCTATTCCCCTTCTTTACACATCGCCTCTATACTTTACGATCAATTTCCTTTCACTTCGATCGTCGATAGTTTACTTTTTACTTCCAGATTCTTCTCTTCTTCTTTCCTGCCTCTTTCTTATCCTGCACTTTCAGTCTACTGTTATTACTAGAGTTGCATTTAAAAGGTAAGGGTAGAGAACGGTATCGCTTCTATGCAGTTTCGTTGCAACGTACAGCAGGCACATTTGTCGAGTCCAATTTTGCACGTGCCGTTTTTTTCTATAAAAAACAAAACAAAACGAAACAAATTGAAGGAGTTTTAAAATTATTGTTCACCTTCGTGGAATTTCATTTGTTCGTTCGTCGATTGCATCTTTCGTTAAATGTGCGATTGCAAAGAATCGCATCAGAGGTAAAGCTACCGACCAGTTTGTCTGTCATTTGTTCGGATGCAAGAAACTGCTACTAATAATTAATAAAGTGAAATAAAGAAAAAAATGAAGGATATTCGAAAAACATAGCGAATGTAATCCGCACAGCTCCGTTCACTCTCGAAGCTGTAATTAAGTCTGTTGTTCTCTCGATTACACGTCGCATGATTATACACACGTTCGCTCGTACACACATATTTTTAAAATGTTTTTGTGCATTTATAATGTCGTAATAAAAGTTTCGAATCGTGTCATGAGGAAGAAGTTTACTCGTGTCATTGCGTTTGAATCGTTTAAATTTGCCGCACAATTGCGACTATGCGCGTTCTTGTTGCTAGTTTTAGACCGCGAGAAGACGCCACTTGTGTCACCGCAATTATTGGCGAAAATTTGACCATTCAAGCGCGGTAAAACGGTTTCTACTTTCTTCCGTATAACGAGCCATGAATCTCGTTATCGAGACCATGTTGTAGTTATCGAATCGGTAGTACAAGTTATTAGTGTCCTATAGCTTCCCCGTGTTCCTACCAGTTAAGTTCCTAGCTAGTTAAACGCCGATCTTTCGCGCGCGTTAAACTTCATTGTTAAACCTTCTTCGCACTTCACGATTATTCCTGGCGGTTCGCGTATATGAATAAATATCGGATTCGTGTGAAAATATTGGTTGTAATGATCGTGCATACAGTGTGTTCGTCGTGAAAGGAAATTTCTTTCGTTCGAAATGGTATATGCTCATCGCGGTAAAGCATCAAAAGTCGCGCGTCACGGCCGCCACGTTTTGCGGCTGATTCAGTCATTCAAGGTATAGCGGGAACTTCGAGAAAAGTACAGATCGCACAATGTAAACGGAGCAGTGTTTTTTACAAGGATGTTTCTACATACTGTACCTCCAACTTCACAAACATGCTTCGTTCATTTTCGGACCAGGCCAATTTTATTATACCTTGACTATTGGATTACGTCTCGAAGTTGAACGAAAGCAGAGAACTCGATCGGTAAGTATTTAGAAACCTCTTTTTCTTATTCGAATGGCAGGGTGAAATAGGCTACGTTTATGAATATAATTCATTTATTTCGTTTGTATTCGATACGTGCCAGAATATCTCTCTATACTATAGTCGATACAAATTGGCTAAGGCTTTGGACTATCTCCGGTATATTTCCGATTTTTCCATGAAACATTCACGATCATACTCAGGCTATGTACATTTTCGTATCAGATATAGTAAAGTGGAGAGTAGTGGAACGGGAAGGGGGTAGGAGTAAAGTTGTGTACGAGGATCGAGGTGAGCTTATAGAAAAGTACGAAAGTATAACGGGGTAAAGCGACGGATAAGAAAATATGAAGATTGCGGTAAAAAGACGTCACGTGATAAATCGATGCGTTTCCTCGGCAAGTTTGGTCCTACGAATCTATGTACAATACAATCGACGATATCTCGCCGAGATCGAAGAGTGCACGTTTATGTACATACGCACGGAATGCCGTGAAAAGTGGAAAAGCACGAAGGAAGAAGGGACAATGAGCGGGAAGGAGATGGGGGTGTAGGTAGTTCCTTACATCTTTGATAAAAGAATAATCTAGAAGAGGGCGAGGATGAGGATGAGGAGGAGATGTAGGGGTATTGACGCGCGGTCGAGCGTGTAGACGCTCTAGGACGTAGACGGTATGCCGCGAGCCTGCTCATCGGCCGAAATACTGCACGGTGCTCCGGAATCGTCTGAGCTTTCGAAAAAAGATCACTAAGGGAAGAGAAAGGAGCGGAAGAGGAGGAAGTCCTTTTCGCGAGCAAAAAGTATAAAACATCGGGACACGGTGGTGCGTTTATTCGTTTGCGCGATTTGCTTCGATCGGCGCGGGAGAAACGCGGGTGACTAGCTGAGAATATCCATCCGACAAACGCGGATAGAGAGCGAGAGAGGGACAAGGATTGCGCATGCACGCACGCACACACTCTCCTTGTCTGTCTATTTGTCCTTTCGCGAGACTCGAGAGAAAGGACGAAGAAGGGATCATGAAGGGAAACGTGGACCGAGCTGCGTCCCGGATCCTGAGAACTGGTCCCATCCGGTTCGACATCTGGTCGATTTTCGCCAATGGGGCAACTGAATGCCCAACCTCTTGCACTCGTGCGCGTACGCGGTGAACGACTCGCAGTAGCAGTTCTCGCTGGGACATTCGCACATGTCCTGCAGGCAGGCCTTGTAGTACATTGTCGGGTTCACCTTCTTGTGACAAGCGTCGAAGATCTGCGACCTCAGCCGGTTACACAACCTGAGCGCATATCGAGACAGAGATATTCGTGCGTGGTTTAATGGTGATAGGCAAGCATAAGATAAACAAGAGGTTCGTGCTCTTACCGGTGATCTTTTCGTCCTCTGCATCGTCTCGCCCGATCCAAGTTTGCAACTAATTTCGGCCTGGTACAGCTCCTCTTGGCTCCGCCTACCAGCCAGGACTGGCCGAACGGCTGAGGATCTTGCAACAGTCTGCCCCTTCGATTGGTAAAGTCGTCCTTCGGCAGGGAATTGAAGTTTCCGCAGAGACCGCAAAGCCGGCCTCTGTACGAAGTCGGCGCCGACACTTCGAGAAAACTGATCCCGTCCCAGAGAACCTTGATTCCGATCTGCGTGCTTACGATTATGCTGTCCACCGTTCGGTTCACGTCCAGCCGGTTCGCCACGCGATACGGCAGCTCCACCTTCTTCCCGTTTACCTTCACTCGCATCTTCTGACCGAGATTCACCTTCAAGTCGCCCACCTACGGCCACCGCAAACAGACTCGAGTCAGCTCGATCGTCGCCCGATCGGTCGCCACTGCGTCCGGTTCGCACTTCCCCCCACCTTAATGGCGATCGTTTTCGTCCACGCAGAGAATCTCGTTGACCTGGCGTCATTCGTCACCCGCACGCTGAACGTGTGCCCGGAGCAATCGCTCGCCAGTTGGTACTTGCACGATCCCTTGAAGCTGTAGAACTTGCCGTCGAAGGTGCGATAGTGAGGGTCTCCGAACACGGTGCACACGCCGTCGCCTATCGTAACGCGTATAACAACCTTAATCAACCGAATCCCAACGATCGTACTAACGATCCGAATTAGAATTCTCGATGCCATCACACTCACTTTCGACGCAACGCGGACAGCACTGGCCCTCGGGGTGCTCCAGCCTCGAATTTGGAGGGCAGGGCAAATTCAGCGGTGGACACATCGGCATCGCACACCGCACTTTACCTTGCATGCAAGCGCATGCCTTGCACGAGTCAAGCTTCCAAGTTTCGCCATCCTGCCTAGGACAAAAAAGAACCTTTAAATCTTTGAACGAAACCTAACATACCGTAACCTAACGTAACCGTAACATAGCTATGCGCGCAATAGCGACAAAAATACTCGCCCCGTAAGTTTTGCCCGCGTAAGTACACGACGGTCGAACCTCTTCCACTTCTGGACACTGGGGACAACAACGACCAGGCAGAACTATTTGGTGTTCAGCGGGACAGTCATGCACTGGGCAGGTTTCTCGAATACAAGAAACAGCCGAATTCGAGCAGCTACATTTGGTGCATTGATCCAGGTAGAATTGATTACCAGAATTGTAGAGAACTGATCCCAGCATACATGCTCCTTTCGGCGGCGACAAGTACCTTCCGCTACCTGTTTGCCATATGCAAAGGATTGTGAGATTGGATTGGTGGTTGCATCGTTTCGTTCGGTAGAAACAGATTATATACCTGTGCAACGTGGACAACATTCGCCAGGATCGTGGACGATCTTGGAGCCAGGACAGTGGAGCACCGGGCAGGCTTGTTTCGCGCAGGTTAACCTGCCACTGTTGCATCTGCAAGTCACACAAGGATCTTCCGTGGTCGTTACCGATCTGTCCGCTGTTACCATTTGTCCGTTCACGTGGCATCCTGTGAACCATCAAACATTACACCGTCTGAATCATCGTGTAATCGTCTAAATAAACGAACGAAAAGCTGCTGGCCTACTTACCCGCGCATATTGGACAACACTGACCAGTTGGAGCAGGGATAGGATTCGAGCATGGCGTATAACAGTGGAGTCTAGACTCTGTGATCACTCCAGCTTTGCAAGTGAAGATTCTACACGCATCGTTTCCCTCGGTCCACTCAGTCTCTGATCCATGGTACACTCCATTGCGCACGCAACCTTTGCGAAAGAATCACGGATAAAGAAATTCCGAGAGAATAGTCCAACCAACACCGGTGTGATAGAGGAAGAGAGAGAGAGAGAGAGAGAGAGAGAGAGAAAGAAAGAGAGAGAGAGAGAGAGAGAGAGAGAAAGAGAGAGAGAGAGAGAGAGAGAGAAAGAGCGGCGGGGGAGATCAAGCCCTTCGAGAGGCGAATTTGGTTGCTCCTTGGAGATGCAGGCGAACAGGGACGAGCTTGCATCACGCGTAACGTAATTAATAGAGAAAGAGATAAGGCCGAGCGAAGCATCTGTCGGCGGACGGGGGTGCCGGTGTAAACACACTCGATGCCGAAGTTCCTCGGGTTTATCGGCCAGTATCGACGAACAGAAGCGCCTTTGTGCCCCGGGGAACAATGCTCCGCCCCGGACATTCCTCTCGACGAAGCTCGTTCTCCTTATCCCGCCCGTCTCTATATACACACTCTTCTTCGTTCTCTTGGACGCGAGAATTTCATCGCATACCTTTGCACTCGTGGCAGCATTCGTCCTCGTGTGGCTCCAGCAACGTGTAGCAACCCTCGATGCTAGGGCATTGCTGCTTCCTGCATTCGACGAAGCCGTTCTGCGAAAGAGAAGAGAAGAGAAGAGAAGAGAAGAGAAGAGAAGAGAAGAGAAGAAATGGGAAAAGAAGAGAAGAAATGGGAGGAGGAGAGAAAGGAAGAGAAGAGATGGGAAGGAAAGGGAAGGGAAGGGAAGGGATGGGAATAGAAGAGAAGAGAAGAGAAGAGAAGAGGAGGGGCGGGGAGGGGAGGGGAGGGACGAAAAGAGAAGAGAAGCGAAGAGAAGAGAAGCGAAGAGAAGAGAAGAGAAGAGAAGAGAAGAGAAGAGAAAGGGACGGGAAGGAAAGGGACGGGAAGGGAAGGGAAGGGAAGGGAAGGGAAGGGAAGGGAAGGGAAGGGAAGGGAAGAGAAGCGAAGAGAAGACAGTGGAACGTGTTCGGTTGTTCGATGGACGAGGTCACGACCAGAGACGAACGAGCGGATCGGTTCCCGACCCGATTTCGTCGCCTCGTATCGTCCGACTTTGGCGTAATTATTTCTCACTCGCTTCTGCGTTATCGCGGCCTATAATTAAACCCTTGAGATTTATCTGCCGTTTGAATTACGTAAAGCAATTTAACGCGGGTCACGGGTGGTCTCTCATACGGCGAGAACGCAAGAAGGTCGCGCGGCTCTCGAAAATAACAAAGATTAGGACGATCGGTGAAGGCGTTGTGAACGTTCGCGTTCGTACGATGCCCGCCAGTGAAATCGAAGAGCGCAACCTTTTCGAAAGATTCGCGGATAAAGAAATTCCGAGAGAAACCTCCAGCTAGCACTGGTATGATAGAGAAAAAGAGAGAGAAGAAGAGCGGCTGGGGAGATCAAGCTTGAATCGAATCAAACACGCTGAACCAGACTCGAAACGCCTTCGAGACCGATCGATCGCCTTAGCTCTCCCAATGGGCCATACCACTCTGTGGCTGACTGTGTACGCGTTAGTTTACAAGACAAGAATTGAATCGAAGAGAGAGTCAACGAACGAAACTCGCGCAGAGATAATTACCCGGCGGCTAATAATTTTGCTGACATCGTATTTAGAAGAATTTTCGCGTCCCATAGGTCTAGAGAGATACATAAGCAAGATCGGCGAATCTAACCGGAGAACGACGGACGGACGGATGGACGAATCTGGTCGTGCGAGCCTCCGTGACCGCACCGAGATACGACTCGCATCTCGACTTACCTTGCACAAGCAATTGAAACACCTGGTGTTCGGGATCTTGTCCACGGTGAAATCTTCTCCCTCGACGTCGCATGTTTCTCGGCTTCCTGCAAACAGAGGCCGCGAACGGCGAATGACAATGCGTTTGTGTCCGCTGTGAGTACAGGCTAATAGTGAGAGAGTGAGAGAAAGAGAGACGGAAGGGGGGAGGGGCAATCGGTACACGTCGCGATTAGCCGATATCGATTACTGATGCCGATAATCCAACGGTGACGGCCGTTCGGTGAGTCGACCGTTCCGTGATGCTTCCTCGTTGACTATGGATTGCCGCGCGTAGGTAATACGTCTTTTCGTTCTGCTACTTACTCGCTTGGTTTGACACGTGGTGACACACGCATCGAAGGGCAAAAATTCTTTCCCCCAGGCGCGATCCATCGAAAACGATGCACGTCGTGTTTGGTAGGCGCAGCCATCATCAATGTTCCTCTCGGTTCCCTCACGCGCACGTATTCCTGCACACTTTAAGCAGCCTTTCTTTAAAAAGTACGCCATTCCTATACTATTCCC